GCCGGGGCGCCGTCGCCCACGCTGGAGCTGGCTAGCCGCAGCCCGTCCGGGGGCGCGGCGGGCCCGCTGCTCACGCCGTCCCAGTCGCTGGACGGCGGCCGGCGCTCCGGCTACATCCCCATCGGCTACCGCGGCTCCTACCCCATCGGGCGGGACGCGCAGGCGGACGCCAAGTTCCGGCGGGTGGCGCGCATCACCGTGTGCGGCAAGACGTCGCTGGCCAAGGAGGTGTTCGGGGACACCCTGAACGAGAGCCGGGACCCCGACCGGCCGCCGGAGCGCTACACCTCGCGCTATTACCTCAAGTTCAACTTCCTGGAGCAGGCCTTCGACAAGCTGTCCGACTCGGGCTTCCACATGGTGGCGTGCAGCTCCACGGGCACCTGCGCCTTTGCCAGCAGCACCGACCAGAGCGAGGACAAGATCTGGACCAGCTACACCGAGTACGTCTTCTGCAGGGAGTGAGCTCCCCAGACCCCCTCGCACTCCGATGCCCACTCCCCGCTTCCTGCCCGAGAGAGGATTACAGATCCTCCTGTCCCCTCCTCTGTCCCCTGGCTCCCCCTCATCTCCCTCTCCCGTAGTAGCTGGGCCGGACCCGTCCGCCCCCGCTTCCCACTTCAGAACCTGCAGCCGCAAATCCTCTCGGCTTCTTCGTCTTCTTTGGACCCCGTTAACCGAGAGAACCCAGACGAACCCCCCACCCAACGCTTCCTTTACTCCTTGCCTCAAACCACCCCTCACCCAGATGGGCCTTCAGTCTGGATGTGGTGGGGCAGTGTGGCCACAAAGTCACCAAGTACCTGAGAATGATTGAACCTGATCGGACCGTGTCCAGTGTGTAGAAGATTCCTTGAAATCTCGAGCCTTTATGACTCATTCGCGGTATAAGAGATCAGAATTGATAACACTGTCTGGGGATAGTTAGTGTTTTAAAAGGTCATTATACCGTGTTTTTGACCCTCTTTGAAAGTAGAGTTTTAGGAGGCTATTTGAGAGACTCTGATTCTGGAATTAGGAGCCCATGGAGGCGGTTCAGTGACTGTAAATGAATCAAGTTGTGAAAAGTTACAGGTAACTTGTGCAGTGAAAGATCCTGTCTTTCCACACGGAACAAAGGGCCTTCGGCTGTGGCTTAGGCTTATAGAAAGTGATCCTCCCGCCTGCTGAAGCGCCTTTTTTCAGCGGCTGGTCGCCAGAAGCCCCTGTTCCACGGATTCACTTGGCAGCCGTTACTGCCAAGAGGGAGAAAGGGCGCTGCCCCCTAAGAGGGCAAGGCTGCTCAGGTCTCCAAGCGCTGCTGGAAGTCGCCTGGCAGTAACTGTAGGGAGCTGGACTGTAGTGCACGTCGTGGGTGTTAGGAAAGCTATATTCTTGCAGTTAATGGCAGTAGGACCTTCCTTAGCTCTAAGACTTGGGGGTGGGGGGTGGGTGGGGAGGGAGGAAGGATAGAAAGGGTGGGAAGGGAGGAGCAGACATACTCATGTATTGTTTGAAAGCTGGAAGTTTGTACCATCCGTTTGAATACATGCACATTTTAAAAATATGAAATAGTAAATGCAAACATGCCAAGCATTTTATAAAGATTAATAACAGGCCTACTCTTAACTGGCAGTTTGTTGAACTAACTGTTTTGAGTCCTAAACTTAGAAGTTGCTAATACTTATATAACCTAACCAAAGAGTTGCCCAGTAGGGTTTTAGTTTTAGAAATTTTATTCTCTTGTTGATTATAAATCCTGATTTTACAATCTATTTACTTGAGCAAAAATAAGTTTGATTTTGGTTACTGAGATGTAAGATCTCTTATTAAAAATCCTGATTTTTTCCAAGCCCAGCAGATGTTGACAGCTGGGCACAACTGAAAACCCGAAAATGCCACCTCTCTCAAGCAGTTTGTTTGAAGTTAAGGTGGAATCTTTTCAAATGACAGAACTGCAGAGAACTCTAAGCACCAAGGGCTGACCATCTGTAGATAGCTGTAAAATGGAATCTTTTAACATGAAGGCAAATAAGTACTTAAAAGTGAGCTGAGCAATAAAATGGTGTTTTAGGTAAATACGACAGAAAGAGAAGGAGACCTGGTTGCCTTACGCCTTTATTCTTACATGGAATCAATTCCCAGTGATTATCCTATGTACACCATAAGTGAAGGGAAATGAACCTCGTCAGGCTTCATGCTGCGAGGCATCCTGTGGATATTCTGTGATGACGGAGAAGCCTTTCTATTTTGTTTTGTTTATTTCAGCATCTTTCTCTAAAGTATGTTTTTAAAGATTTTGTAACAGTTGTTTTCAGTGTTTAAATTAGTGCTATTTTCCCTTCTTTTTAAAAATGAATCTTGTACTGTATCTTACTATGTCCATACAGATGTTACAAATTGGAACAGTTTTATTCTTAGACTCCTGTGATCCAATCTGTATATACCATATATAAACATTTTACACGAATCATTTAGTTTTTTAATTCGTTTACTAATGCTATAAAATTTCCTATATTTACCCCCTATATTTGCATCAACTGGTGTATATACTAAAGCAACATGTTTTGATGCGTTTCTTACATCCTTGTCTATGGGGAAATTGGGTTAGGAAAAAAAAAATCATAATTGTAAAACTGAGTTTGCTGCATACTCGTTTGCTTGGATATTGTATGTGAATCATATGCCTGTTAACTGTCTACTTAAAATCAAGGTACCTGTATTTTTAATCCACTAATTTTTTTAGTTGGGAATGAAAAAGATTTGAAGTCTTTATATTAGTTGCATTTTTAGAAAAGTAAAGTTAGCTTTATATACGAAGTCTATAATTGTAGGGGAAATGGAAGCAGAAATCTAGGAAGTTGTGTTTGCTTATCTGTTGTTTGGTCTCAGACTAGGTAATGCAGCAGAACTTATCTCTGTTTCAATCCTGAAATGATTTAGGACTGTTGCTCACAAGCCAAAAGTGAGTGTCAACAGAGATTTCTCTACCCCATCTGGCATTCTGATAGAATGCTCAACAAAAAGCACATGGTTGAGAACATCTTAGGACAGATCAAAACCACTGACAGATGGCAAAACTCAGTGATTCTGATTTTCTCATCAAAATCTGCTCAACCCTAGGAGCCATGAGAAACTGCTAAAGTTTTGTCTCTGCCACTCTTATGAATGTTGTCTTGTAAAACTTTGAGTTGAACTAGTCCATGGTCTTGTACTTAGGCATCCTGCTCACTCCCACCCCATCATACCCTTGCTGTCCCTCACCCCCTAGATTATTTGAAAGACTGGGAATTTAATGGTTAGGGATTGTAAACTGACCTCTTTTTTCTAGGGATGGTCGCTTCCTCTAGAGTTGAAGTTGATATATGAAAACTTTCTCCTTTTAGTCCAAAGTAGAGGCTGGGTAGGAAATTCTTTTTGCATCGGGGAGATAGTATAAGAGAGGTAGGATGGTTGGCACGAGCGCCTTTAGATCCCTTCCCCTCCATATGCTTTTGAACCACACAAAGAGCCTCTGAGATCTACTGAGTGGCCTGGATGGAGAGCTGGTAGTCACTTATGAACCTGAATGTGAGTATTGAGGGTTCATTTGAATCAGCCCTCCAAAGACAACATTCAAACAACCTGAGAGAACGTCATAAATTATTAAGACAACTATGACTGCATTAATCTGACTCAGAGGCATGCATTTACATATGTTGCTCTAATTACCATTTGACATTCATAAATATAGCTGAATGACATTTGACTTTTTTTAAATTAATTTTTTTAAAAAGGAGTTGTTGACAGTGGTAGTTAAAAAAACAGGTACCCTGTTTCGTGCTTTTTGCACATGCTTATTTTTTAATACATGTAGACTATGAACCATTTTCATTCTTATTTTTCAGATGATACTGTGGAAAATGTTCCTTGAAAGTGTGAGATTTAAGTTTTTTTTTCTTTCAATACCATTATTTTTGTATTTCTTATTTGGTTTTTTGGATTGATCACAAGGTGATAATTTATAATACTAGTCAAAATTGTCTTCTCGTTCAAACCATATATATATATACTTCTCTGAGGAAGTGCATAATCTGTGAATACTCAGACAAAATGGGCAATTGGCAGTACTCATAATACATTCCAATTTTTATTGGAATTTTTCATGGAATGTTACTACATTAAAGCCATGTAAGGTAAAGCTTTGATAATTTTTTACTCTTCAAGTTATGGTAAAAATCCAGTCTAATATTAAAATCATTTTTGTACTCTTACATGAAAAATGCTAAATTACAATGCAGACATTTTAAAAAGTATTGACTGAAGGAGTTGAATTCCTTAATAATTTCTTTTATATTCTAAATCACAAATACTTGATTCGATTGACTTCAGTTTTTCAGCTAGTAAACTGAATATTGTTATTGTAAACCTACCAGAGTCAATCCTTTGTTTGGGATTCCCCCCCATTTTTCCTTACTATAAATCATTAAAAACGGAGTGAGTTTTCTTAGATGATCTAAGTTTGTCTCTTGAGAAATAAACAAAATGCTCTTATTTACAATATCTGTAGTATCTGAAATAGGTTTTCTTATAGCCAGAAATAAGTTATGCTGAAGTTAACGTTTCTTTGACACAGTTTTGGATAATAAAAATCTAAAAGTATTAATACTTGAGGATTTAGATTCTCTACTGGGGCCCTTGAAACTTAGATGGAAAAAAAATTCAACCAGAATATCTACATTAGAGTATAATCATGTGTTGTAGGAAGATGGACTAGTTGACTAAGATTTCTTGTTGCTTAAACATTTTGTGATTTTTTTTTTCCTATACCAGTTTTTAAAATCTAAATGTTTTGAGATATGTGTACATTAATTGTAATGTAAACTATTATACAACTGTCTTTGTGACTTGATAGGCAAGTAAATTTTGCTATTACTATTGAATACAAATGATGATAATTCATTTATGGCCACCCAAACAGCGTTAGTAACCAATTAATGACAAAGGGTTAAAATATCCATCATAGATGTTAATTTTGGAGATATAAATTATATGTTGTTTAAAATTATCCAGGCATATGAAAAGCTCTTATCTCTAAGCAATGTAAGGTTTCCCCAGAGCTATCTGGGATTCTGAAATTGTTGAAAATGTTATATGCTAAGTGATACATATCATTAAGCCATTTTCTCAAAATATAAGGGGAGAATAAAAAAATCATTATAAGATTATCAGACTTTTCTAATGAAACAAAGTTAAGAAAATAACTTCGTTTATATTTTTAAAAAGATGCTGTTCAAGTTTTTTCAGACATGCCCAAACTTTGAGAATTTCAACTGTCTAAATGCTCTAGAAATTTTTGTTCTCCTTGTTCACAACCAGTTGTATAACAGAAGTACTCGAAACTGTTTTCCTCCCTGTGTGTGTGAAGTAATGAATCATTGATTATGTGACTTGTTATGTATTCTATTAAACACTAAAGAATAAAACATTCATTCCTTTAATTATTCCTCTTGGCTCCTCGGTATGGATTGGCTTGAATGCTGGTCTAATTTCATTAAAGGGATCTCTAAATACTGGGAACACTTGCCAAATTGTTTTGGGACTACTGATGAGCTTCATGCCATCAGAAGAATTCTTCACTGAGGAATTGGCTATTTGGGCCAGGTGCAAACAAGTTCTTTCCCCAGAGTTTATTGTCAAGAACGGATAGGTGATTTGGTATTCAATGTGGAAGAAAAATCCTTCACAGGCATTTTCTTTGACCTCAGTCCTTGCTGCTTATGCCAATTGTGTAAAGGGACAAGGAAATAGAAGTTTCGAGATGTGCCTTAATTAAAAGTGCAATCCGTGAAGATAAGAGCCTAAGGAATGTTGGGAAAGAGGATCTGCATTTTGCTCTAGGGACTCTTTACTGCATCATCTCCAGTCCTGGTATCTCTCCTTTCAAAAGAGCACATTGCTACTAAGACAGAAATCTCAGAAACTCAAGCCTGCTGGGTTACGGCACAGGAAGTCATGAGGGTAGAGTGAGCCTTCCTCTTTTGCCTGTACTTCCTCTGGATAGCTTTTGTTTTAAGTGTGTGTTTTAATTTATTTCTTGAAAATTTAGTACATAACATGAAACATTTAAGCAACGCAAGAATGTACATAATAAAAGGTAAACCTCCCTCCTCCAGTAACCCCTAGTTTTTCCCAGAGACTCCCTTTTAAAAATGTATTCGTTAGAAATTATACCTGTTCCCTGTCTTGCTTTCTTTTTTTAAACCATATATCCTGGAGTTCTTGCAATACTCGAACGTGTAACAATGATCTACCTTGTTTTGTTTGATAGTTGCATGATATTTTGCATGATATGCTATTGTCTAGATGTGCTGTCATTTATTTCACCATTTATTGATAGGCATTTAAGTTTCGAGGATTTCTCCCCCTTCTCTGAAGAGTGCTCTATTGAATATCTTTTTACATATATACAAATATATCTGAGCCAAGTTTTTTGCTATAAAGTAATGCCAAGAGATAATTGACAGGGAGATACTTTTTCCTTCTTGAGGAACTATGGAAACAGTAGGATTCATTGGAAGCTCTCTAGGGGATGGTGATAGTATGGTGGTGAAATGATGCTGGTGTCAGATGTATAAGGGTGAAGTTTTATGTCGCTTTCATATTGGGAACAAGACCCCTCCCTTTGTGTTCTACCTCCCTTCAAATTTTATTTAAGATTTTTTTCCCCATAAGTTATGACCAATACTTGGTTTTTAGGAATATAGCATATGTAGAGGAGCCATAATACCATACTTCCTAGAGAGGCATCTCTGGGCAAGTTGGAAAAGGTAGGGAGGCTACAGGATAAATATGGAACACCTTTGCTAACTGAGATGTGTATCTGTGAATAGGGGGATTAGATCCTTTAACCAGTAAGTGATTTATACAAATCTATTTTATTTTATGGAAAGAATGTGAAATGTATGTGACTTTAAAATATAAAACTTTTTTTTTTTGAGTTGGAGTCTCACTCTGTTGCCCAGACTGGAGTGCAGTGGCCGCTCCCCGCCACCACAACCTCGACCTGCTGGGCTCCGGCGATCCTTCCACTCAGCCTTCCAAGTAGCTGGAACTACAGGTGTGCGCTACCACGCCCGGGTGATTTTTGATTTATTGTAGAGATGAGGTCTCGCCAAGTTGCCCAGGCGGGTCTTGAACCCGCGGGCTCAGACAATCCACTCACCTCAGCCTCCAAAGGCACGGGATTACAGGCTGAGCCACTGAGCCCGGCCAAAATATAAACCTTTAAACGTTAAAGATATTCTGAGCTTGTAGACTCCCAGGGCTGAGTTCACCTTTTCTGCCATTAAGAACCTGGTGGTAGTGGTGAGAACTTCTGCTGGTCCGCACTGGGCTTTTTTGATGGATAATTTAGGGGAAATGTTAGCCCCTTACGTACTCTGTTTTACTGTGCAAAGTAAAGTTTCAAAGTAAATGCCCCTTTGGGGCCAAAATGCAACTTCTTTCCACAGATCTCCTAAGAGTGACCTATGGGGCTAAGTAG